AGGAAATTTCATGTTACAGTATATTTTGTAGTTTTTTGTTTTTAAATTCGGTTACAAATTCGTATCAAGAATGCTCCGCTAAATTAGTTTTGAGTTCGCAGAACAAGCCATATTATATATATATGTATATCTATTTGTAAATATGAGTTATATTTCTAATTTTAATTGTATATATATATATAACGCCAAGTTAATAGAATTTTCTATTTTTATTAATAATTATTTAATTTTTGTTATTGCAATCATTTTCCTGCAGCCATGGATGGAGTTCAGCGTTGGCGACGATACGTCCGCCCAGCATGAAAGTAATCTGTCCAACAGCACCCACAATGCCGGTGTCATTGAATGCCGGCTTTCGTATGCCATCTTGGTTTGATTTACGTACGCTCGATATATCTGGCCCCGAAGATGAGGAGGGCATCAAAAGTGCTGCTCAAAATATCAAAAGTATGATTGATGATGAGGTCACCAAAGGTATAGCATCGAATCGTATTGTGCTCGGTGGTTTCTCACAGGGTGGCGCATTAGCATTGTACACAGCGCTAACATACAATCAACCGCTGGCTGGTGTTGTAGCGTTATCCTGTTGGTTGCCATTGCACAAGCAATTTCCAGGCATAAAAACCAACTCAGATGAAATACCAGTGAGTAGTAAAAGTGAATTTATTTAAATTTTAACTTACATACATATGTTTTATAGGTATTTCAGGCACATGGTGACTTCGATCCTGTTGTACCATACAAGTTTGGCCAATTAAGCGCTAGTTTATTAAAGACTTTTATGAAAAAAGTTACATTTAAAACATACAATGGGCTATCACATTCCTCATCGGATGACGAAATGGATGATGTGCGGGTAATACAAATTTTATACGCATAAAATTATATATTTTTAATAAACAAAATCATTTTCTAAATATCATATTCTCTTCTACTTTTAGGATGTACTGTCCTCTTGGGTAAATTAAATTGAAAAACAATAAAAATACAATACACTAGTAAACAAAATGAACATATAATTAGTGTGCATAGTTAAGCGCGTACGTATTACTCATAAACTTAAAAATCTATATTTTTAGCGCTAAAACCTAAATACGAAGAAAACAATAATAATTTGCCAACATAAAAAGTTCATAAATAAATATAAAATAATACATATAACGTTGCTTAGAAGCCAGTTTAACAGAAAAAGTATACCATATGTGACACTTTTCTCAAAATTTAAAGAAAAAATTCAAAAAAAAATAAGTTTACCTAAAGCAAAAAAATCAAGTTCTTTTCGCAATAAACTGTTGAGTACTTATAATTTTGATTTAATTGCAATATTTAAGTTACGTTAATTACAACGAAAGTACACTATTTAATGAACGCAATTACAATATATTAATAAATTGTTTAAAAAGTAAAATATATTAAGTTCCATTTTTGATTGTAAACAAAATTACAAATTGAACATTAATATATTATTCGTTTTGTTTGTCAATAAAGATTTTACCAACTAAAACGAAATATAAATTGATTGATTGAGCAATTAAAATGCAAAAAAGATAAAATAAAAACACAAAAATTCTGTTTTTGCTATGATTGTTATTTAAAAAATATTGTGAGGTATTTTTGGTTAAGTTTATTTACCGTTTAATAATTTGATGCTGAATTGAGTAGTTATAGAGTTTTAGGAATAAATTAAATTAATTATCTTATATAACCTCAAAAGTTGATTGTTGGTAGTTGGCGACGGTCTGGTTCGCAACAGTTTTTTTCACTGATAAATTTGCTCTTCAAACTGTTGAATCAAATTTTTTTGAAAGTCTTATTGCTCCTCAAATTCGACTTTATAGCCTCCCTAGTTAAGAAACCTTGTTAAAATTAAACAAAAAAAATTAATTACAGATTTCTCGCAGCCAAAACGTTTAAATGGTTTTCGAATTAAAATATGATGGTGAAAAATTATAACATTTTAGTTTCATACATTCCCCAGTTCCCTTAGCGTAACATTATTATGTACCTATTTATTGTTTGAATATATGGACATAGAATATCCTGAAATAGTTATTAAAGCCACTTTATTATTTGAATTCACGACCATGTCGTTATTTTTTAATATGTTTTGATAATGTTTATGGAAATTACACTTTTTTATTTTTTCGATCAAAAAGCGTTAAAATAAAGAATTAAAAAGCTAAAATTCGAAGGGTTTTTAATTCAATGAGTATGCTAATGCTTGATTTTATTTTATTCGTTACACCTACCAATGTAAAAACTTTTTTTTGAATATATTTTATTTGCAACCTATTTAAGAAAATAATAAGCAAATTAGATAGCTAAATATATTATATAATATTGATCTCCAGTAAAAATAACAAAGCAACTTTATTGACTACTCGGACATAAATAGTCGTTACATCTTGAAAATAAATTACTGTTGTATAAATGTATATATAAATTCAAACGCGTAAAAAATTTGACATATATTTACAGGTTTCATAAAAGCAATTTATTTTTGTAGTCCGAAGCTTTTTTTGAGCGCCTCGACGTTCATTTTCATTTTATATAAACTTTTTATTCATAGTCCTACATAATGTTGACTCATTAGTTTTGTTTGTTGTTCATTTTGAGTACATCACTTGTATCTTCATGTGTATTTGCAGAGTGGTGACAGTAGGAAAAGTAATACTTCAACGCTGGATGTTAGCGGAAATGCCACAGCTCAATGCTGTCTAATATCATAGTAGCAAATATGTGATTTTCTCTGATGATTTATGTTATGATGATGTTGATGATAATGATGTGTATGAGGCACAAACAAAAACACCTTTTTATTATTGCAACAAAAATGCAACTCATAACTTATGAACATGAAACTAGTAACTAAACAAGTGAAAACTTGAATTTAAAGTATACTACAACAAAGCAGCAACTCAAACAACTCAAAAATACATTTTTCGCAAGTAGTTTATTCCAAACAATGAATGAATTAATAACTTTCAAAACAAATGCGGCGTGTATTTTTATGGCACGCATTGTATAAAACTTAAAAAAATATTTACTAATTTTTGCACGTTTTTACATTTGGCGCAATACATTTTATTTAATTACTTTTTAGGGATAGTCAAGTGTAGACGGTAATTTCTGCTGTTACTAGTTGTTAAACTGAAACTTATACCTTTAACGTATAACGTAGCGTGACTGAACTATATTATTACAATATATATTATATAATTACTATTAGAAGTAGCTAATTGTGAAGCGAAAAAGAGGTTACAAAAAAAAAAAAAAAACTATGAAAATTAAGAATAATGAAACTGGAGCATATAAATTAATAAAGTACAGAAATGCAATATATAAAATACCGAAATACAGACTAAATTCTATCAATTTATACATCCAACTGCAGCTTAAAGCAAGCGAAACGATAGTGACGACTTTTGGGACTGCGCATGAGACACATTGGCTGGCGCACATTACACTGCCGACATAATGTGAGCAATTGTTGCAAGCCGGCCGGCGTTACATAGCCCACGGCGCAGACTTTCGCCTCGGTGTAACTGAAATGCGCTATTGTTGCATAGCCGAATACTTCACGCTGGCATTGCTTGCGAACAGTGTAGAGCGTAGCGACATCCTCCGGCAGCCACAGTTTGCACATGCGCTGTAATTGCGCTGCTACAAGCGTCGCTGTGTTAGCGGCTCTGATATATACGCGAGTGGTGCTTGTCTCCTGTTTGCAAATAAATGATTACAAATTACAAATGAATATAAAAATAAGCACACCTGTAGTTTACGTTTTTCGCGCACACGTCGCGCGCGTAAACGTTTTAATAGCTTTTTATGCGTTTGGCGCAGCTGTTTGCGTTCGCGTTCAGCCAAATCCGGCAACAGTGGTTCGGTGAAGACGGGCTCATGATTTGATTTCTTAATTTGTTTGAGATTACGTTTAAAATCGTCACGTGTCGGCAAACAAATCAGCGAGTAGTCCTCTAAATTACCGCGCGATTTCATGCAAAATTGTAATTGTATTAGAGAATTGCTGGGTATTTCAGGGGGAAATGTCTTGCACTTTCCTTGTATATGTAGCAGTATTTTTTGTAATAGCGCGCGATCACGCAGTATGTGAAAGTTTTGAGTTAATGCGTTATCTTGTGCAGCATGACTGCTGTTCCAATCGCGTAGTAGTTCGGAAAATGGCGCGCGGAAGGGACTAACTATTGCCAATTTTTGATAATTTTGACGTCTATTTGGCGGTTTGCGGAAATATTTTGCGCGTAATTCTTGATGACATGTGTTCGCCAGCACGCGACCTATATTTAATGAACATATTCAATTAATATATGAGTAAAAATAATACAAAAGTTGCAAATACCAGCAATAGTGTCGGGCAAATACTCCTCTGTGCCCATCTCTCGTGCGATTGATGCGAATTCTCGCAGACCGCCGGGTTTTGCGCCCCACATAATAAGTGACAACCAAATTGGCATGCCATAGCCAGCGGGTGCTATCACGTCCCAACCACAGCCGTATCCCAAACGTTTATATTGTGGACGTTGTGAACCTGGACGTTGTATAATTATAATGGGTACTGCTTGCATCTCCTCTTCGAATTGACAACGTACACCTGGCACCACAGCATGCTTGGCTCGTAGTTTGCTATATTCACTGGGTGTTATCATGCTCTTGCATAATCCATCGCGTATTTTTGTATTCCATAGAGTACTTTGCGCTAAGTTATCAGGCATATTGAAGAGAAAGTCTGAATTGCTGAGGCTTAAAGGCTGTTGGGGTTGCGCCTTCGTACGTTTCTTTGGTCGATTCAAACGTGGATCTTCAATATTAAGCGCTAATATCATGTTAGAAACTAATTCGCCCGGTGAACCGATATCACTGCAGTTCTGCCAAAATTCGAATTGGTTTTCGTGTATGCTTTTAAAATCTGGATTTTGTGCAAATAACGTATGTAACCAAGTGGGGGGGGTGTTATCTTTCAAGTTCTTGGGTTTGAATGTGTGTAGCAGTACACTTTGTGCCAGATGACCAGTGAGTCGGAAGCGATTCATGGTATCTTTTAATTCGTTAATTTTTACACCGGTTTTCGCATTACCATATTTTTTGATATGCTCAAAAGCTAATGTTTTCGTCATAAATTTTAAATGTAGCAACTCTTTAGGTTTGAATTGTTTGGATGCTGTAAATATAAGATAATTCTGTTACGAATAAAAAACATTCATTATATTATTATATATATTTTATATATACATTACATTTATCTTCTGGCACTTCACTACTAGAATCCTTTGCTGTTTCATCTGTTTCTATAGGCACTTTAATGCTATTTAAGGAAGTTACTTCGAAAACTTTTATCAGTTCTTCCAATACCGCTGGATAAGCACTTGGATGCACCCAAAGCCACAACGTACGTGAAATTTGCTCCTCATCTTTAGTCTCATTCTTATTTTCTGGTTGCCACATAAAAGAAATACGTCCCAGTGCATATTCCGGATATTTACCATCTCTAAACAAGTCGATACTGCCTTCTCTTCGTCCAGTAAGGTATGTCTTAGCAGTGATACTAAATCCACAACGTGTGCTACTTAATCTCGCAAAACCCATACGTAAATCTGCTAAATTTCCTTTCAATTCTATGCATGCATGAAACGACATATCCTGCAGTAAACAGTGTTCCGATGAAGCTCGATAACATGCTTGGTATGTTTTATCACAGCTTGACTGCGGCAACTTGTAGCCCCAACGTTCAACCATGTGAAAACGTTTAGCATGCCAAATATGAGTTTCTAGCCAAATATTTTTTCGTTGACGTCGCAAGTAATCGCGTAAGAGATTACCGGGACGACGACGAAATTTACGCGAAGGTCGCTTTGTCTGCTGGGGTTTGCCAGCTTTAGCCATTTGAGAACGGTGTGCTGCGCGATACTTGCGTGGTAAACGCTTTGGATGATGGGACATGGCGCGTCGGCGCATATGTTTGGGTAAAGTTTGGAAGACCAATTTGCGACTGACAGGATTACGAACTTCATCAATAAGTTGCCGCATTTCTCGCACAACATTAGCGGCATAACGAAATGTTTGTACATGTGTGGGCAAACTCACAGACCCACCCAAAGAAGAATCATATTCCAGCTTGTTGGACGTCATTATTTTTTCACTTTTATCACACTTATTTAAAGTTTTTTAAAGAAAACATTACCCGGTAAAATCAAAACAAATAACATGTGTTTGAATGTCAAAGAACTCCACTCCACGTGAATGAATAACATAGTTGAATAGCGATATAAACATAACACGTAAGCGCAGAGTGTTTCCGAAAAAATTAATATGATGTTAAGTGTGTTATGGGTTTATATATAACAAAATCTGTAACAAAATATTGCTTCTAGAACATTCTGGCCACTACGAATTCGCTAACTACTTTACTACTAGAGCATTCTGGCAACTACGAATTCGCTGTCTAGTTGCTTCTGGCAATTTATCGTCGATTCGATTTTGTTCTATCATCCGTGTTCGTCACAATATTATTCAATTATTTGTTATATTTCTTATGAAAACAGTTTATTTACCACTGTATTAGTTGTGTACTGTGCTTTGTATTTCATTTCCTCCCGTTTCTTTATAATTTCCTGAAGCCCGCGTTTTAAAATTTCTATTTCGATGGTGCATAGTAATTTTTACTATTAAGTAATTAATAAATTAATCCTAAAAAAAATCAGCACAGAAAACAAGAATGTAGCGCACCTAGTCGTATACGTAATTAAAAACAAAAGTAAAGAGGTTTTTAATGGCTTTTATTCGTCTAAAGTACACAGGTATGCATATTCAATAACAATATAGTGAGAACAGTTGTTAACACCCGAAGCGAATAATACAAATTTAATATTAGTATATTTACATACATCAAAGAGGATAACTTTCACATGCATACATATGTATGTGGCCTTTACAATATGTAGTTGCCGTAACAATAACAAGGCAAAAGGAATAGAAAATATTTGTACTAGCATTTGTGATAACCTCCTTTGTGTTTTGTTCTTTATTTAAGCCCTCCGTCACCAGCGCTGACTTTTACTAGGGTTCCATGGCTCAAAGCCATGCCATGTTTAATATTAGCGCTAATTGGGTTCGGTACGATTTAAATAGGTAGAACGCACATGTCCTTTTCCTCTCAAGAAGCTGCTCATCTGTCAAAACCGCCGATATCGGACCACTATAACTGCCATACAAACTGTCCGATCAAAATGAAGTCCTTGTATGAAAAATGTTTTTATTTGAAAAATTATCTTTAGGAAGTTTGGAATATATTAGTTTAGATTATTATGGTAACTGATCAAAATCTACACTAGATACAAATCTTTTTATACCCTTTTATGCAGTAAGAAATTAAACTGTGAGAGTTATTAAAATGCTGCCGAAGATTGTTTTGTATTTCATTAATAAAACCGCCACGCCTTCATGTCAAGAAACTAAGCTGAAAATATACATATATCTCTAAACGATATAGATTGTTTAAATGTGTTTGAACATAAACTTTGTTAAAAATAAATAATTAATAACTGAAAGAGGAAAAGGTTTCATTAGGTTTCTTTGAAAGTAAAATAAGAATATAAAAAACAAAAACAAACTAAATAAAAATATATTACTTTAAATTTGCCGATAATTACGGAAATTTTCGCAGGTTGTTGGTTTGTGTGTATATTTTTACGATTTCATTTTCGGACATTGTGTCCGCGAATTATTATTTTCGCGTATTTATTTTGTTTTGCATATACGCGTTCGCTGTTGACAACAAAAATAAAGCTGATTTAAATAATAACAAACAAAAACAGAATAACTGTTGCTGCTGTTTATATAGCAAGTGTTTTTGCTGCCGCCAACCCCAAACTCACAGCAAATGACCACTCTTTTCTGTGCGGAACAACTACAAACAATAACAGAGGCAAAAACAGAAAGAAGCAGCAACGGCAGCGGCAATGCTCATCGCGACGCAACCGCATGTTTTTGCTGGCTGTTGTGGTCTGGCGCACTGACTTTTGGCGGCGAACTCCAACGAATTCATTCACATTTGTGCTTCTGAGCGGAGTGGACGAAGGCGCGCAAGCGACGAAATAAAACAACAATACAGTGAGTTGTAATAAACGAACCCTTTTATTTTGTTTTTGTTACTGCCTACAAAGGAAAGAATAAAAACAGTTAATTAAAAAAAATTGTAAATAATTAAGAAGCAGTTAATTAAAAAATTAATATTCGGTATTTTGCTGTTAGTTTTTTTTTTCAAATTGTAAATTTGTTTAAATAATTATAATTTAAACGAATTAAATTACCGATTTATTGAAAGCAAAGTGTATACTGAAGAAGGTTTCTTGTTTTTGTGCAGTGCTCATTGTTCATATAAAATAAATGTATATATTTTATAAATAAATATTTATTGACAAAAATAAAAAAAAAATTTTAAAAAGTTAATTATTGACAACATGTATGTACATGACTGATGTTAAAAATGCAAAGAAAACAGATTTGAATTTCATTCGCTTGACATTCGATTTATAATAAAATTTTGCATTAGAAATTTGCTCAAAAACAAGTTGCGCGTAAATTTAAATCTGCATTAGCGAAAAAATTGCTTTTAACGATTTAGAGTTCAAAGCCTTTGATGCATAAAATTCGTATAATTTATTTTTGTTGCTGGAGAAATAACAATTAAAATTTGTTTTGGTGTGCAATGCCCCGGTAAAATCTCACGAAACAGTTTTTCGAATTACAAATAAATATATAAAAAGCATACAAATTTGTGCTTATATATATATGTATAATGTGCTAAACAACAATTATTGAAGCTCAAACCGGCTATGAAATTGTGTGGGAAGCTGCAAAAAATTACATTTTAAACCAGAAAATGAAACGGGAATATTAAAAGGAGTTTTGATTGAGAAAGTAAGTGTCTTCAGAAAAGTATTAAAATTAATTAAAAAATATATAAGTACATTTATTAGAAACTCAAATTAAAAAAAAAAAATTTATAAATATATATAAACATATATACATTAATTTTGGTTTTACTGAGAGTTTTCTTTGACCTTATCAAAAAACTATATTTATTATATACATAAATATATATATAAAATTATATAAATACATATATAATATATACATATATTATATACATATATAATATTATAGGTCTCGTTAACAGATTGGCGTTCTAAACTAAAGTATGGCCAAAGCATACATCATCATAAACGATTTCTGCATTTAGACACCTATATTAAAATTGATATACTTATTGTATATAGGAGAACATCAAAAAGTAGCGTCATATATTTAATAAATTACACACAATTTTCAATACTCACGATTTTTAAACATTGTGTGCGGTAGACATTTTATTGTATCATGTACGTTTTAATTTCTAAGCTCAGATATTCTGATTATACAGCTTTTAATTGCGGATGCAATAATTCCCAATAATTATTCTAACTTCATTACAGCTGTGTAAACAGTAATGTCAGATTTTAAGCGGTGTTAAATGACTTACACCTACATATACATGTATATACATACGTATATAGTAAACAATGTGCAATTAGTAGCTGATGTTACATAATTATGTATCGACACACATACATTTTTGTTTACAACTAAAGTCAAAGCTAGTTGTTAACTCTGTTATGCTCAATTTCCCGCGTGTCAATTAAATTTAACGGTAGTTGCACTATCGAGTACTCGTATCTACTTCGGTATTTAAATTATAAATAATTACTAATTTGCATGTTTGAACTCATCGGCAAAACATACTTGACTAGTAAGAAAACAATTTAAAATTCTAAGTAGTACTTTCCCACATAAAATAATCTCATAAAATAAAATATATTAAGTGTATAACGATAAACTAGTATATACACAGGGTTGCAAATAATGCATTAGAAATAATTGAATTAAACATTTGAATTAAATTTTTAATTTTAATTTCTAATCCCAAATACGGGATTAAAAAACAAAAATAAAATTTTAATACCACATACCGGATCCAAAAACAACATTTTTTAATTCCCCAAACCGGATTAACAGTCTTAAACTAACCCAACTACCGGATTAACGAAAAAATGTTATCCCAAACATATAATCAAGAATAAAAAAAGAAATGGTTTTAAAATTAACATTTTTTTGCGTTTACGTGCTTCATTCATATTAAAAAATAAAATTTTAAAATTTCAATTTATAATCCCAAACGCCTGGAATAAAAATTTAAAATCTAATCGGATTAAAAAATGAAAATTTAATTTTTAATCCAATAGTTTTTAAATTAAAAAAATCCCAACCCTGTGAAATATATGTATGTATGTAACTTCTAATTAGTTTTTACACATACTCACAGTCTGGTTACATCCAATTCTTCCAATAAACTGTTAAATATATGTAATATGCCTCTGTTTTCTAAAAAAATTTTATATAACTATACTCAGCGAACTTTGTCTTTCCGCAATTATTTCAATAAATAATTACTTCACGAAATAATTTAAGAAACTTCTAGAATCATTTGGCGGAGAAGAAAATACATTTGAACTTTGATTATGTTGATTCAACTTTAGAGTTTTTTAGCAAAATAAATTTTTTTTCAATCCAGCTTTCAGATTTTCCTAAATTATTCACTTCCCTTTGTTTTTAATATTTTACTTTTTTTAATTTTTGTTTGGATTGTTTATGTTTATGACATCTTATATTTTGGGCAGAAAGAGAAATATTTCTTTTAGCGTCACAATCACAAAACAGGTTTGAGCGAATTTTGGTGTAATACGTACTTAATTGATGGGTTAAGAAAAAAAAAAACAGAATGGCAAAATAACAACAAAGAAACAAAACAAAAAACAATAAAAGTACAAAAATAAAATAAAATAATACAAAAATTGAACATACAAAAATAAAAATGAAAATGAAAAAAAAACTACAATAAAAAGAATAAAATATGTAAAGAAACATAAAAAAAAACACAAAATAAAATAAAAGACAAAAAGTTGTTTTTCTTGTTTTTGTAGTATTTTACAGTTTTTTAAGCCTTACCTTATTTAACAAAGTGGCAACACTTAATATAATAAGTTGTATATATTTATAAACCTAAGTATTTTCGGATTTTTCGCGTAACGAAACCGAGAGAATTGTTTTAAAATATTGTTATAGAAAAATATACCTAGTTGGTGTTTTTACTCGGTTAGTTTCTCTCAAAATTTAGTTCAAAAAAGTAAAATAAAGTATTGCAATTATTAAAATATTCAATTATACTTCATTATGCCAGTCTAAGTGATTTATACCAGTTATTTGTTTGATAGGAGTTGTTTTTATAGTTAATTTCTACTCGATTGTTCCAGGCTACAAGATTTAAACCAGTTATTCGTCCTATTTCACGCTATTTGATTATGCAATTTCATGTCATTTATATCTACTCTCCAAGGCTTGACGAATTGAAAACGGCTTATGTTTGTCCCGAAAGTAATTGCGAAAGAACTGAACGAGCAATCAGAAAGGTTCTACTTACGTATATTTTCATGTATATACATATGTATATAAGAACATATATTTATTTGTATGTTTGTATAATGTATATGTGACTATGTGCTTTGTTCTATGAATAACCGCAGCTAATGGATATACAAGTGCCATAAAAAGCGCCGTAAAAAGATTGAAAAACAATGTGTGTAGGTAAAATCACAGGACAGCTGAAGATAGCATGGCTTGATAGGGCATGGCGCGGCTTAAAAGTACATTTCTGAGAAATGGTTAAAAGATATTTTCAGTAAACGTTTTTATATTAAAATTTTTAAAGGTAAAAAGGAATCGGTGATTAAAAATTGGAAAGTAAAAGAGACGAAGTTAATTGATATAAAGTGTCTAGGCCTTAATGTGGCACTAAAATATAAGAAAAAACATTATGGATATAAGTGAGTTCAAAACAGGTAATTAAAAGACAGAATTGACAACAGAAATTGTCCATAAATTTTATGAGAAGCAGAAAAAGTGGAAAAGCAAAGCTTTTATTTATGCAAATGCGTAATCGAACGAGGAATTCTAAATGTTTTACTTCAAACCACTCGAATATTCTGCATAATCATTGTGGGAAGCATGTTTACATATAATTTATATATAATATTAAATTCGCACATCAATCATAAAAGCCATGTCCGTAAAATGTCAAAGCATTCCTAATAAACAGATTATAAGTCTAACTTGAGTTGTATTGATTATTCATCCATAAAATGTTGACTGGTTATTCGAAAAGGCTTAACTAAAACTTGTTTAATCGGAAAGCAGTCGAGGAACTTACGTTAAACCGAAAAAAACGAGTGGAAAAATACCAAAAAATATTCGAAAAAACAAGAAGTCAAAAATGTTTGGCATTACTGACCTAAGACTCTCTTTCTCTATGCTGATCACTGTTGATATCGCAAATTAAAAAGCAGGCATCCGTTTTAGCAACCGGCTAGAAAAATATAAACATACTTTATACTTATGTATGCGCATATTTAATGAGGTGTCAGTAATGACAGCTAGACATGAATCACACGTTGCTTCGGCGCTACTCGGCTTGACTTCACTACTTGTGCAGATAAAGAATTATGATTTATTTACGAAAGGCAAAGAATAATAATAAAATATATACAAATGTAGACATATGTACAAGTCTGCATGTATATTTGTAATACCATGTTATATAGATAGCTGTCGGCAGATAGAAAGCAAGTGATTGTTTGGCTATTAAGTCGCACGCCACATGTATTCATGCGCTGTAAATATGTTAATTTATATTTATTTATTTGTAATAAGTTTGTCTGCATTAAGCTACAGGGATTTTAATTTGTTTCTACTTGTGTACATATTTATGTATATACAATCAAATATGATATGTAGTCTCTAGATGCTTGTAGCACAAACAGTATGTTATGTCATATTAAAAAAAATTGGTTTGCTTAACATAAACAGTTAGTACTTGTATGCTAATTGTACTAGTTTAAAGTTATTATAATAAATTTCTTAGCAAGTATTTTCATTAGTATACGTATGGTTACTAAGTAGGTAGTTATAAGTTGTTTTAATTTTGGAATTGGTTTCTAAAAGGGAAAAGAGTAGGAAATGGAATAGTGAGCGAAATACTTACTATTTACCGCTGAATTTAACATATCTTTTGAGCTCTTTTCCCCGGGTCTATTATTTAAGTGCGAAAAATCGAGTTAGAAACATTGACTTTGAAGCTACCATATATTATATTTAGGGTGTCTGTATTTTGCATTTATCTATGCTGTAAGGAAGGGAATAACTTAAAGCAAGTTCATGATACCGAACTGGCAGATCATCGATCGAAGGTATGTGAGATAGTTTAGATAGTAACCACTTCAAGAAATCGTCGGTTATATCACTTGAATATGACATGTAAATTAATTCCAAAAAACGTTTAGCGTAATTTATTTTTTATTTTTAAACTGAAGTACCAAAAAATAAATAATTTTATAATTTAATAACTGGTAAAACCTGCTGAAAGAGTTTTGTTTTTTATTATACTTCGAAATAAAAATAAATTTCGAAATAAATATTAAAAAACCAAAATTTTATGGACAAAAAAATCACACAAAAACAGGTTTGGTTTTTTTAAGTCTTACAAGTAGAACCTCAACTTCTTTTTAACTTTTCTAACATCTTAAAAACAATATTGAAGTGCAGAAGTCAGTTTTAAATCTAAGGGAATCAGAGGACCTTGATCGCTGCAATGGATAGCAAAAACAAGAAAACATGTTAATTTCAGCTGTTTATATTGGTTTCTGCAATCTGATTAATTTAAGATGAATACGGGATTAGCCTTTTGCATCCGAGCCTGGATCCGGGGCTGCCGGTCTCCTGGCTTGCAAAGCAAAGGAGTTTCCCCCGAGCTGGTGATAAGGTTATAACGCCTTTACTCGCATGTCAGAGCATCGTGCGTATTAAACATGGGGTACCACATGAATGGGGAGAGTTGACATTTGGGAGAGACAGGTTGTATGTTAGTAACAAAAATTTGGTGGCAACCTTTGTATACCCTCTTCGGGATAAAATTAAAAGTGTTTTATTACTGAGCAACACTTTCTATACTAACTAATCCAATAGATACACATATTTACTTTTCAATTAGAACAACGACTTAACAAGCGGGTTTTAAATTTAATTATATATATTTTAAAGTAAAAAGAAAAAAAAAAACCTCAAAACTTATAATATATGTAATTAGAATACACAAGCTTTTGTTTTTTCCTTTAACGCTGCTTTATTATGCAATGCTAACAGAGAATGGTATTGACATTCGTACTGATTCGGAACCAATATTAATTAACATACGCTTGCGCATGACTCTGTAATAGTCCATATAATTGTTTTAAATAACCGATTTGCTTGGAAAGTTTCGAAATGATGTAATTAAAACTCATATTTATAAGTATGGTAAGTGCATTCAGTTGGAATCATTTGTATTGCACAATCTGCTGCTAAACGTTTTTTGGACCATGACTGTATATTAGTAATATATCATATATATAATATACTACACATATGTACATATACATATATTTTTGTACTTTTGTAAATTCTTTTGTATAACTTAATATTTACATTCAATATTTATTCAAACAATTCTGTATTCGCCAGCGATAAAACGCTTCATATTAACATTGACGATAAATTATAATAATGCTCTTAAATTACTGTTTTTTGCATTTTTTTACTTACTTGCAGCTCATGCTTCACACTTCTTAAAACATTTATACTTTAATGCAACATTTGGAAAGCGCAACACGTTCCACCGAAAAGGTAAATTGAGCGATAACAAAAAATTGAGTAAAGCGAAAAAAATTAAATGCGGCGTTAGAAAAATAACATTCCAATCATATTTCAACAACCACAATAACAACGTTATTGCGCAAAATACATAAATTAAGTGTAGACGAGACATCGTAGCCGCAAAGATGGAGCACACCGCCTGTCTGAAGCCATCGAAAGATGTCGAATTTCAAGATGTTTACTACACCGTTAAGGAGCGCAAGCACTACAGTGAGTATTTTTATTTACTTAAGCTGTGTATTGAAGTAGGAAAAATAAATTAATTATGGTAAAATGTTGGTGGTAAGGTAATGGCGAGCATATCATGTGCTGCACTGTGGTACGAGTATTGCACAAGAATTTTTGCTGAAGACAATTACACATAATAATTTCTGTTAACTTTTTTCTTAGAACTATTGGTCAGTTATAAAATACATTTTTGAGGCTCTATGCTATTTTTTAAGCTCTATGGGAAAACATATAATTCGTTTGACATTATTTTGGGATTATAATTTTTTTTTCAAATGTCAATCACGTATGAAATTAATTAGCCGACATTTTATTAGGCTGTAATTCAAGCAGTCATTTATCAGTTAAGGCACGTTTCGCTGTGTGTGGCCTTATTAGCATACATTTTTTTTTTGTGTTGAGAATCAAAACTACGGGTCACAAAGCATGAAGTTTGTAATACCTGGAAGGAAATATCGGAGACCCGTCCGTTACCGTCGTAAATAATTAGCATGACAAGCTGAGTCGATTTAGTCACGTCCATCTGTTTGTCTGTATATACACGAACTAGTCCCTCATTGTTTGAGATATAGATCTGAAATTTTGCACTCATCATTTTCACCCCAAGAAGTAGCTCATTTGTTGAAACCACCGATATCGGAACACTATAGCATATAGTTACCATACAAGCTGATCAATCAAAATCAAGACCTTGTATGAAGAACTTTTTTATTTGACAAGATATCTTCACGAAATTTGGCATGAATTTGTAAGTTCTGATAGAGAAAGAGAGAGAGTGATTATGCTATTCTTTCAAATTTTATTATTTTTTACCAGTTTTTCGAATGTGAGGTCCCGTTTAATAAAATCTGGTATATTTTTATGAAATCTGTAAATTCGGACTTTTACGGGACAACAATTACTACGTATTATATTATTTCCTAATACAAATAGTTATTTCGAAAATTTTTTGGCCAAAAATATGTTTTGTATAATATAATTCGGAGTTCAAATCTGTGGATAATCTCAGTTAGTAATTCTTTAATCTACTTCATAATATTTTTAAGCGAAACACTGCGCTTCGTAAGAATCGTTAAAGAATATGGATATTTTTAGCATGAAAAAGAACTCTCAGAGCCTTTCAGATACAACTTGAACCCTATAGAAATCTTCACACTCCAAAATTTTTCCAATTAAAACTAGTTTTGAGTTGGCGAAATCTTTTCTTCAGCAACTATAAGTTTTATCAATTTCTCCAACTCTGCTGAGTAGTTGCATAACGAGCTGAGCATCTTGTTTAAGGCTTTATTTACAATTACTATAAAAGGTTGTCAGTTCGTGTTCTCACAGTCCAATTTTTCTCTATCATTCTTCATATCCTAACATATAACAAAATTACTGACAAACACATCCCACTGTAACCATTATTTTTAGTTCATCGAAAATCCAGTTTTCTTGTTTTGGCAGTTTGTTGATATTTGCTTTCACTCTTTTAGTCTAGCGTAAAATGAGGCAATATTAATGAAAAGGAAAACTCAAAAAATTATTTAATGAAAGAAATGAAAATGTTTAGTTAAGTTAAGGAAAGGCGTGTTTTTCTGCAATCGCATGATTTCTGGTAGTTGTGGCACGAAGGAGGTGTGGGTGGGGAAGTGATATAAAATGGGTTAGCTGTGTGTTCATCCTAACACACAGCTAAGAGCAGCAAGGAGAAAAGGCTGTGCGCAAAATTTCATATCGCTATCTCAAAATCCGAGGGATTGTTAATGTAATGCGGAGTTATATATAGCAGATATAGTTTCTATATACATAAATGTATTATTAGCACTAAATGTGTTAGTATTTGACCACACTTAGCTTATACATATCACATACAAAATTAACGTACTAAAGTAAAAAATTTGCAACTCAGAGTTGTGTCGTGATATTAGTGCAACTAATTATTATGGAATTAATTATAAGGAACACACGTTATGAAATGATTTAAATATATGCTAAATATAAACTACTTCTAAGAGAAATGCACGTGCATGACAACATTAGTGTAAGCTTATAATTCTCTTTATCTTAAACTGTCTAATTCAATTAAACGTTAGCCACTCAACGCTTACACATGCTGTCGACAAAGTATTTTGCTCATTGTAGTTCGAAGTAAAAACTTTGCAAATTATTTAATATATTTGTCATTATTACGATTGAATTTTTTCCTGTTTCTCATTTGACAGCCGTCCAAATTATAATTATAATCCATAATTCGTGTGATTAACCGCTTAGAACTTGCAAGAAAACGCATGCTTGCATAAATATTGCAATTTCCTATGTACATATATGTACAGTCCATGCGTATTTATATAAATACATAGCCATATACATATATACTCATTTTTCATCCCACCACAGAATAGCTTTAGGTATAGGCGTGGAGAACATTATGAATATGCATATAAACTATTTAGTATAATGTGATAAAATAATCTAAACGGCAATGTTTTATGGCGTATAAATTACAATAATTAATAAATTACAGTAGTGGCAAGTGTCTACTATTTTTTAACACTTACTTTGTAAATAAATCTACATCTGTATGTAAGTGCATCATTTATTTTATTGTGGGCAGAATGCAATATTCTAACTCATTTGCTTAACACTATACTAAATTCTATGTAAAAAGTACCCGAGAAATGCATTGAAAGTTTGGTCCTACTATACTTTTTCAAAATTTTGTTATGCAGTATTTTTGAGTAGATACAAGTCACATATTATGTATTACCTACCAAATATTCCTAATTAAGTATGAGGATATTATATTGAGCTTCTGGTAAAACTCGACTTTGATCATATAAGTAAGATATTTCGAATCAGCAATTTCTTTCACGAACATCAATTAATTTTGTCGTTCACCGTGATAGTTCAAAACTATCTCATTAGGAGTTAGTACTTATTCTCGATCCAATTTAATGCAACGCCTCTATTGCATTTTAGAATTAGGTATTACCATACTATAGACTGTAGCACCGCCCAACGCTATGACTTATGAATTTGAATTGATTATGAATTATTCTCCCACATTCATTATTGTTCTCATTAGAGTTTCAAATAATACTTGGAAAAAACAATTATATTAACATTAAAATCAAATTTTTTCTATATTGTTATTTCAAAAACCTTAAATAAAAATTATTTTCACTTTTCTAATCCCAAATACTGGATTAAAAAACTATTAATCCCAACTTTATAATTTAAAATTTTAGAAATAAATTTTTTTAGAATTTACATGTTTTTGCGTTAGCGTACTTCGTTTTCTACCATTTTGGTTATTTTTAAAAGGAAGCTTATTTTCAATAAATTTTAACATAGTTTAATTTGTATTATTTAAATTTATTATTTTAATTTGACAAAATTTTTTTATTTGTTACCCCAATCTTCTTTTTAATCCAACACTTTTGAAATAAAAAATACGCAACCCGGGGTCTCATGCATTCTTTGTTAACTGTTCTGCTCAAACCATTATTTTTTCAACCGACCTCGTTCAAGGATGTTCTTCCCAACCTCTCATCAATATCGGGAGAGTGAAATTCATTTCTTTGTCTGCTTTGTATTTTACATTTCATATTTTCAGGTCACCATGCCTAACATTTTCAGGTCTTCAAACCCCGGACTGATCCTTCAACAAATCGAAAATCCATTTGATACATTTTCTATTATATAATATTTCGACTAGAGTTGTTGGATCAATATTTGTGATTGCTTGGTGTAGTCTGATTTTGACGAATTATACCAAGAGAAAGTGTTGAGTAATAAGAGGAACTGTAAGTGTCTTAAACCATATTTGTTTAAATCGGTCACTCAAAGTGGGTATTTCATCGACTCCGTAGCAAGTGGTATAATTATACATGTACATATGTATTTATATACTCTATTTTATAATTGTATTATGTAAAATACTGCATGACAGCGAATAAGAAAATTACGATTGCATGAGTCGGGTGTTGAAACAATTATATTCGGAGCCAATAATCAATGGCAATTTTATTGAAAAAGAAACTACGCTTTAACATATTATATGAAAATGAAATTGTCCGCTCGTGTCAGTAATCTCAGTTCAAACAGAATTTAGTTATTAATAGATTTGTATTAATTTAAACGCTTTTTCTTTTCTTATTCTTACCGACTGCTATAAATAAGGAACCAATTTTCTTATTATTTATGGGTGTCTTAATAGCTAACAAATTGTAGTTTGCTTAGAAAACATTTTAGTATTTAATTAAAGGTGTTAACTAAATGGATAATAATAATTGCAAATCAACTCCTGACAACGTCAGAAATCAATTAAATGTCTAATTAAGCACATGACCTTGATTGCATCATGTTCATTTTTTTTTAACTATTCAACTGCAATTTAGTAGTATTAATTTCAATTTGATTTGCATTTGTTATTCTAAAATTCATATAATATATCAATTTTTAATTTTTCGTACATGTGCGATAAAGAGAGGAATCTTTTTTAAGAATTGATCATGAAAATGTCGTTGCTTTGGATAATTCCCGGTACTTTGATATGCAATAACGTAGTGAATTTCTATGAATTTCCCAATTGGTTTGCTAAGATAATGTAATTGAGTGTGCCTACATGTGTATATATGTTGTATGTGCAACAAATAAGCAATGTGAGAATTACTTTTAGATGGAATATTTAAAAACAAGTAAGGAAGGGCTAAAGTTCGGGTGTAACCGATCATTTCGTACTCTTGCAACTTGCGTTACGTATTACGTATATGGGTTGTAAGGGTAGTATTGATCTGGTTTTATCTTTTTCAGATGTATATGGGTTGTAAGGGTAGTATTGATATGGTTTTATCTATTTTTGGCTTTACGACATATTATTAACAGAAAAAGATTATTTCTGAGTTTTATTAAGATACCTCACTTACCATCACCATAATAAAGGGTGTCCCAAAATTAACGCAAGATTGGAATTAAGCAGAAAACACAGTTTTAGAATC